GCCTCATCCAAAGCAATCATAAAAATCACAATTTTTATTTTCTTATATTTACTAAGTAAATGTATAACTCCTAAAAGTATTCAAAACTCCTCTGTCCTTCTGGAACATTACCAGCCCCTGTTCCTGTTAAATTGCCTTACAGACCCTCTGCTTATGTTAGTGGCAGAAATAAGTATTGGGGACCAGCTATAATTATAATAAATATTAAGCATGCTCTGTTAACCATGATGGTTCTGTTCTGATTAGAGGAAGTACGTTCTAACCTGGCTGAGAGCTGTACACCCTGGGATATGGGAGCTAACATCAGAATGCAGTCCATCCTCCTTTTCTAAGAACTGCCATCATTATGGAAAGATTTACAACCTCGTGGCTGAAATCTAGTTCTGGAGGCACCCACTCTTTATAACCCCCAACCCCTATTGCCTGTAATCTGGTCTGGGCACCCAGAGGTGCCCGCCGGTTGCAAACACCCCCAGCCTCCCCACCCACCCACCCAGCCTGCATGACCTGTACTTTACCATGCCTATAATTCCTACTTCCCCGCGTAATATTTGTCCTTCTGCCCAATATAAGCAGCTGGCTTATGGTGGGGTGCAGAGCAGATTTTTGTGGATGACCTGCTGCTCTCCCATATTGCCAGCATTGTTGGAATAAATGCTCATATATGACTCCACCCTGTCTCTGTTTAATTGGCTGAAGTAGTGACAAGCAGCCCGGACCCCTTGGTTGTCCGGTTACACTTACACATGCCTCAAGGCTTATTTCTACCAGTAAACTCCCCATCCTGCCCTGAACACTATCCCTGTACCCCACACTGCTACCTCCTTCTCCTTCTAGTCTCCCCTTTGCACAGTGAGCCCTGAGCAAATGTCCCTCACAGAGAACCCACCCTCCTACCAGCCTCCATGCCCCACTCTCTTTTTTGGGAACCTTGGAGACCTAGGCCCCACCTCAAGCCCTAAACCCCCCTTCTCATTGCCTCTCTGGCAGGAATACTAGTAAGGCCAGTGTTTCCTCCTTCCTTTCTTTCCTTTAACATCCCCATTGATCCAATAGCCTCAGATTCTCATTATCTCTCCTCTGCAAGAATTTCTCAATATAACTGTTCTTTAAAAAAAATTATTCAAGTAACATATTAGTACAGTCATATTCATTTAATTAATTAAAAATATTTATCGGGTGCCTATTGTATGCTAGGAGGGACACATCCATGAACAAGAAGATAAAAATATTTGCCTTCATGGTGTCATAGTTCAGCAGGCAAGATGGGCTGTAAACAAGAAAATAAAAGAGAAAAGTGACATGACTTCAAATAATTTTTTTTGTGGGGGGAGGGGAGCCTCTTTTAGAAAAGGTGGTTAGGATTGGTCTCCGTGAGGAGGTGGACCTGAGAAATGAGATGGAGTCAGATGGAGAAAAGGGAACAGAGCGGCCTCAAAAGAACAGAGAGGCCTCTTGGGCAAGTGCAAAGGCCCTAAGGTCAAAATGAAAGGAGTCCAAGGACTGCAAAAGGAGTAATAGGGTAATAAGTGAGGTATGGGTACAGGAGGATGAGGAAGGAGAGATGAACAGGGCCATTGGGGGGCACTGGACAGCAAACAGTTCTACCAACACAAGCCTTGGCAGCTTTCCACATATTTTTATATATCCAGTTGCATATACAAATAGTTGATTTTTATCTGCTCTTCAGGCCTTTGTACTTGCTGTTCTCTCTTGTCAAAATGTCATCTTCCACCCTTGGAACAATAGAAGTTTGTCTTCTTGCCTCCTCTAAGAAGCTCTCCCTGTTTTCCCTGGATGAGATCCCCTGTCATGTGATAATCTTTAGCCCTTGGAAGTTTGTATTTTCTCTACCCCCTCAATAGGGGGTCTTCTGAGCAGGGGAGGTCCTTCATTCATTCTGGTTGGAACTCAGGTCCTGGCACAGAGGTAACCTGGGAAATACGCTTGTTGACTGACTCCCTGACTGATGGAACAACCCAACGAGCTTACAGGGAGGTTCTCCAGGCAGGCTTCCCCTGCTTCAAACTTTTGACTCCTTACCTCCATCTCTTCCTCTACCAAAATCTATCAGTTCCATGTCCCATTCCCTCAGGGCCAGCTGGTTGGCACTGAACCTAATCCAATCACAGCTTAGAGACTCTTGTAGTAAATAATGTAGTAATTACAGGCATAGAGCCAAACAGGGAGGAGGGAACATTTAAGAAACTTCCAGTGTCCCCCTCCATAATGAGTGCTCCAGCCACCCCCCAAAAGTTAACTTCCCTGTGGGGACAGGAGAAATCATAAGCAGCTTAAACCAGACTCCAGTTGAAAGGGAAAGAAAGGACATACAAAATAATGCTGGGCCCTGACATCTTGTTAGATTTGTTGGTATTGGTAGGAGGCAGCAAAGCATGATGGTTATTATGGGCTGACTGAATTCAGTGTCCCCCAGAATTCATGTTGACATCCTATATGTTGATATCCTAGTACCTCAGAAGTGACCATATTTGGTGATAGGACCCTTAAAGAGACAATTAATATTAAATGAGATCATATAGGTGGGCCCTAATCCAATGACTGTTGTCCCTATAAAAAGAGATTTGACAAAGTCGCCTGAGGAGCAATCATGTGAGGACATGGTGAGTGAGAAGCTAGCCATCTGAAAGTGAAGGAGAAAGGCATCAAAAGAAACCAAACCTGCAAACACCCTGATCTTAGACTTTCCTTCAACTGTTCTCAGCATCAAGGCAAACTTATCTGAACTCACTTGGAGCTAGTAGTTGTAGGGAGCGGTTATAGGGTCAAGCCTCGGACTGACCTGTGGCAAAGCCATATACAAGTCCCAGCTTGGAGGGCAGAGCCCTCCTAGCGCAATTAAGCTTGACCTGATAGTCCTCCCTTGCTCCTAGGTGGCTAATTGGCTGTGGAGGTGCAGCAAGTGCTGGGAAAACAAGGCTTGAGTAAGGAAATAGATTTGAAACTCCCAAGAACATTATAAACATGTTAACCACTCCCCTTGTTTTGCTTTGTGTGATCTGACTATAAAATAAAGCTTCGGCTTACAGGTTGTGTCACTTTTTCCTCAGCCAGGCACAGCGATCCTACCGAGCCCCAACTGTATTCTCTTGTCTGTCTTCTTTAATCCTTCACCACCCCTCCTCAGGTTCACCCCTGGCCGTGCTGAACGCGGTTCAAGTAGTGTGGGGTATGCAGTAGGTTCTTATCACATAAAACTTTAGGGTGAAATACTTTGGGGGTCTCAGCACAATGTGAGGAGGAGGTTCTCCCCACCTTGGGCAGGCTCTGGACTTGCACTTCTGTCCCTCTTGCCCTATGTAGCTAATGAACTGAAACTCACAGGTTCAATATTGGCAAATGCCCTCGTGTCATAAGTAGCTTTGGTCCTCCAATAATCCAATCTTTCTGTTAACTGGTTATCAATTTTCAAACAATAATTGACCTAGACATTCCCCAGGCTTTAAGCATTTCAGTGTTTTTCAGAGGATATTTTAATACTTTATTTAATATTACCACTATTTTCAGAGGAAGGATTACCTGAAATAACCAATCTACCATACTGAAAAAAGAGAAAGGAAAAAAAAAAGGAAGAAAGAAAATCCAGTTTCAGTGATAAAATAGGCCCAGCATAATTTCTCCTTCACTGATCTCTGACATCATTCCATGACACTGATCTAGGCAATAATATCAGCGATAAATAACACATGGCCCAAGTACTACTACTCAATGCATACCTGTTTATGCAGTGACAACTCCACAGAATAGCATCATACATAGATGCCACTTATCAATGCTCTGGGAGGTGACAACCCAAACTACATTGTCTCAACAACCATGTATTGGGCACCTACCATGTCCTAATTGCTGGGGTTGCCCCAGAAAACAAGACAAAAGACTGAAAAGTTCTATGAAGAAAATGAAAAGAAAAGAATGAGTCAAAGAGTGGGTAGTGCTACTTTAGCTGGGCTATCTAGAAAGGCCTCTCTGAGGAGGTGGCATTTGAACTGAAACCTGAAGGTTGAGAAAGAACCAGCTGTGGGAAAAACTGGAAGTGATGCATACCAGGCAGGAAGATAGCAACTGGGGCTGGAATGTTATTGAATGGTCCAGAAACAGCAAGGAAGCCAGTTTGGCTGGAAAGGAACGAATGAGGAGGCAAGTACACCACATGAGTTTAGATGGGGAAACAGGGGCCCTGATTATACAGAATCTTGTCTTTTGGGCGGTGGGAAGTGTTAGGTCCAGGCGGAAAAGAGCCAGGCCAAGAGACGTTGTGAGAGTTTAAGAAATTTTATTACATTCCCGCACAGCGGGCTGAGACCAGTGTGTCGGATAGATCCTCTTATATAGGGTAAAAGTATGCAATATAAGGTCAGGATGTGGGTGCACCAGTCAGTCAAACGAAGGGGAGGGCATGAGTCAGTCAAGGCAGGCAAGGGAGGAGAGTGCACAGGCCAGTCAGGCGGAGAGGAGTTCTTATCTTGCTTCTGCAGGTGCCGGCCGTCTGCCCCAAGCTAAGGAAAAGGCTTATAACAATATATATTTCAGAAAACATGTCCAAGCAGGAGAGATTAGGGGTACTTCACCCTAAAAGGAAGGAGTTCGGATTTGAAAAACAAATGGAAGAGATTGATGGTGCCAAGTGTTTTATGCTCAGAGAAGATCGCTAGGATCACTGTTACTCAAAAAACTGTCATGTTGTGTAAAGCTGGCTCCTCCCAGTGTCACCATTCCAACTCTCGGGACGGGCGGCCCCTCTTTCGAAACTTTGGAAACTTACAGGTGACACACCTCCTTCTAAATCCAAAGGAACATGCTTTCTGATTGGACAAATCCAGCAGCGTTTCTAACATGCCTTAGGTCCAGTCGGGCGGAGCCCACTGTGATTGGTTACAAGCTCTCCCTTTCTTCCAATCAGAATTCTATTCGGGAGAGTGCGTGAGTCTTGTGTGGTGCGTGTGCCCTATGACTGGGTCTTCATATCTGAGTGACAGAAGGCACAGCCTATGATCGTGAAGATGCGGAGGCGCGGCCCCGAGCTGCGTGTAGGTGAGGGCTGTGCCCCCGGAAGCCGGGCTGTCAGTGCGCGTCGGACTCAGCGTTCCACCCCCGAGTGATACCCTCGCTATGGCCGCCCCGCCGCAGCTGCGAGGTCTGCTCCTGGCTGTGAACGCGCTGTTGCGCAAGCGTCGCTACCACACTGCGTTGGCCGTGATTAAAGGCTTCCGGAACGGAGCAGTGTGAGTGGGCCTAGGTCCGGCGGGGGCTCGGGGACGGGCCTGGCTCGGGTCAGCGGCGCGGGTTCCCGGCCTGGCGTCGCTGCGCTGTGTGCCCTTGAGCAGCCGTAGTGTGTCTGTAGGTCTCGGTGTCCGTGTCCACCATCTGCTGTGGGCGCTGGATTCTGGCTCCCGCGAGCCTTCTGAGCCGGAGATCCCACTATGCTTTTTTCTGGGTCCTTCGTGCTTTGCAGCCTGGTTCTCTTGCCTTGACCACCTCCCACGCCAGTCTCTGTATTCCCTGCTTTAAAGTCTAGTTTCTCCCTTTGCCTCCCCCTCCGCTGTGTGCCCTTGGGCCTCTCTGGCTTCAGTGGCCCCATCTGCACAAAGGGAAGCTGGCCTCTAGCAGACCTCTGCCTATGCTCCCGCTACCCCGCCTCCCCCATTAACCTGGCCTTGGGCTCACACCCCGTTTCTCACTCCCCATCTGCATAACTCTAGCGCTAATTCCCCATCTAGCACAGGGACTCCAGGGTCATAAGCCTCAGGGAGTGACAGCAAATGTTTTAAAAAGTTGCAAATACAGTACTTGCTGGGCAGATTGATTCCACCCTGGCTATCAGTCCTGCAGAAGAGGTCTTGGGGTAATTTCCACTGCCTGTTCTTGGAGGGGAGCTCGGCCTCCTTTAACCTCATGCATAACAGCTGTCATTTATTGAGAGCCTATTGTGCTAGAACTGGGAATGCAGCAGAGAACAAACTGAACAAAGATCTCTATCCTCCTGGAGTTGGCATCCTAGTGGCAGCCTGGCCTGGTGATAAGGATGTGGACGGCCTCAGTTTGAATCTTGGTGCCACCTATCTGTGTGATCTTGAGCAAGTTATTTAGCCTCAATTTCTATAAAATAGGGATGATAATAGGACTTACACTGTCAGAGAATTGAGTCAATATGTATGTAATGCTTATGTATGTAATGCTTAGCACAATGCCTTATGTACATGTATTACTGTTGGCTGCTGTTATTGTTATATTCACATGGATTCTGCCTGACTCACTTTCCTCACCTTTTTCAGGCCTCTGTTTGTGTCACCTCCTCAGTGAGGCCATCCCTGAACTCCCTACCTTCTTCCCTACGTAATTTTTCTCCATAGTACTTGTCACCATCTAACACTCAGTAGTTCACTCATGTATCCTGTTTTATTTTTTCTTAATATTTTTTATTGATTTCAGAGAAAGGGAGAGAGAGAGAGAGAGAAACATCAATGATGAGAGAGAATCATTGATTGGCTGCCTCCTGCATGCCCCACACTGGGGATTGAGCCCATAACCCAGGTATGTAATGTACCCTGACTGGGAATTGAACCATGACCTCCTGTTTCCTAGATCGACGCTCAACCACTGAGCCACGCCAGCTGGGCATGTATCCTGTTTTTATACTCTGTCTCTCACTAGAAAGTAAGCTTCATGGGGACAGAAATTTTTATCTACTTTGTCCTTTGGTATATTCTTAGTACCTGGTACATAGTAGACTTTCAAATATTTCTTTTTTTTAAAATATATTTTATTGATTTTTTTACAGAGAGGAAGGGAGAGGGATAGAGAGTTAGAAACATCGATGAGAGAGAAACATCGATCAGCTGCCTCCTGCACACTCCCCACCGGGGACGTGCCCGCAACCAAGGTACATGCCCTTGACCGGAATTGAACCTGGGACCCCTCAGTCCGCAGGCCGAGCTCTATCCACTGAGCCAAACCGGTCAGGGCAACTTTCAAATATTTCTTGAATGAATGAGTAAGTGTGCAAGGTAAGAATTGTCATTGTCCCCATTTTCCAGATGAGAAGACTGTGGCTCAGAGAGGTAAATTCATTGCTCTTGATTGTGTCACTTAGTCAGGTTCCAAGCCAGGATTTAAACCCAAGGATGCCCAAGACCAGGCTCCTGACTTCCTTGGGCACCCAGAGTTTCAGGTAGAAGTTGATTCCTGCTGAGCCATGCCTTGGTGTGACGAGGGTGGAATGGACCCTGAGATAACATCAGTTTCCCTTTGCCAAGATATTCTTAGGACTAAGCAAGAGTTAATAGGAGTCACACAAGCCCTGGTACCAGCAGGTATTGCCCAATGCTGGCTTTGTACACCTGCTCCCACTCAACTCTTCCTGTGATCTCAGGAACCTTCCCAGCCAGGGAAGGCATTGCTAAGGTCAAGCCCTTGGGCTCAAATCCCAGTTCCTTCATTTCAAAGCTGGGTGCCCTTCATCTCTTCTGGCCTCAGTTTCCTCCCCTGTAAAATGGAAACAAATTCACCTATACAGGGGTTTTTCTAAGCAGTGATCCCATTATACTGGTTAGCTAAGACACCAGGCCCATCCAGAAGGATCTGGAGTCCAACAGGCAGGCTGATCTTTAAACTGTCATGGCAGTGCCAGGTGATTGGAGAGCTGTACAGAAGAGATGATGCTGATATTTTGAAGGCTGAGTTGGAGTTTGCCAGGGGGAGAAGGGCACCCCAGGTAGAAGGAATGGTTTGAACAAATGCCTGGAGGTGGAAAAGAATGTGCTGTTTGTGAAGAAAGGCCATCCATCCAGGGAGACAGTCCTGGATGACTGAGACATGTGAACTTTGTAAAATTTAACTCAGTTTGATGTTCCACGCCTAAATATATCAATGTGCATCTCTACAAATAAGAGCATTTTCTTATATGGCTGAATTGTCATGATTGCATTTAGTAAGTTAATAGTAATCCTATAATGTAGACTACTGTCCAGCCAATAGTCAAATCATTTCAGTTGTCTCCCAGATATTCTCCATCCTTGATCCAGACCAGATCCTCCAGGACATCACATTACACCTGTGCCATTATGTCCTTTAAGTCCTTTTAAATCTAGGGCATCCCTTCTTTCAGGACACAGAGTAATCCTGTGAACAGTGGTAACCAGCTCCCCCTGATTTGAAGACTTTGGGAAGGGGGCTTGGCAGATTTAGGGAGTTGCGGGCACTGTTCTGCTTGTGTCTGGGGCATGAGGAAGGGTCCTTTTAGCCCTGGTCACCTGGAGGAGGCTGAGGGCTTCCTTCTTCAGGAGAGAAAGAGATCGCTTTGGATGAGGCGGGGCAATGAGCTTTCTGGGGCCAGGATGGGTGTCCTGCCCACTGCAAGGCAGGGGAAAAGAGAGGCTTTAACTTGTTAACATTTTCATTTTGTTAGTTTATTTTTTAAACTACATAACATTCAGAAAAGCCATAAAAAGTTAAATGCTAGAAAGTTCTGCCCACCCTATCCTGTCACATCATCCCCCTCCCTGTCGGTGGCCTCTGTGTGCAGCCTCATGTCTCCCTCCATAAATATTGTCTACATAGACAAATCCATACATTCTCCTCCCATACCTTTTAAACAAGTTTTATTTTGAAATACTCTTAGATTTATAGAAGAATTTTCTCGTTTTACACACTTTTACATGTTACACACCTTGCTTTGGTAAAACCCTGCAGTGCACATAAAGCCACCTCATTTTTTAAAAATATTTTTTTCTTTATTTCATAGAAGAAGAGAGAGGGAGAGATAGAAACATCAATGATGAGAATCATCTATCACAGTGATGGCGAACCTATGACACGCGTGTCACTCATTTTTTTGGTTGATTTTTTCTTTGTTAAATGGCATTTAAATATATAAAATAAATATCAAAAATATAAGTCTTTGTTTTACTATGGTTGCAAATATCGAAAAATTTCTATATGTGACACTGCACCAGAGTTAAGTTAGGGTTTTTCAAAATGCTGACATGCCGAGCTCAAAAGGTTCGCCATCACTGATCTATCAGCTACCTCCTGCATGCCCTCTACTGGAGATTAAGCCCGCAACCCGGGCATGTGCCCTGACCCAGAATCTAACCGTGACCTCCTGGTTCATAGGTGAATGCTCAACCACTGAGATACACCGGCTGGTTTAAGACTTAATTTTTTAAGAATAGTTTAAAGTTTACAACAAAATTGAGAGAAAGGTACAGAAATATCCCATATATCCTTTGACCCCCATATGCATAGTCTCCCCCGTTGTCAATATCACTCACCAGAATGGTACTTTAAAAAAATTTTTTTTTTAACCAAGGATGAACCTGGGGGGAATCGAACTGTGACCTGGTTCGTGGGTTGACACTCAACCACTGAGCCACACCTGCTGGGCAAGCCGCCTCATTCTTTTACTGCTGTTTAGTATTCTACTGAATGGATAGAGCGTTATTTATTATCCAGTAACACCCCCTGCAGAGGGACCCCCGGTTTGCTTCCAGTCTTTGGCTATTTCAAACAAGCCTATAGTGAACATTCACATATACTCATATGACGACAATATATGGCTCATGACCATTGTTTCAAGGAGGATGCTATGGATTTTTACAGCGTGTAGCCTGGTCAGATCAGGGCCTGGCAGTTGGAGAACTTGGTGAGGGAAAGGCGAGTCCAATAAAGAAGAACAAGAAAGAAAGAGACATTAACATTTGGGGAACTAGGAACTTTCACATGTGCTATGTCCTTACCTGCCAGAAGCAACTCTGAAATGGAGAATACTTTTTTACTGATGAGAATAGGGCGGCTTTGAGAGGTTAAGTCATTTATCCAAGTTTAACAGCAAAACGTGGCAGGACTTGGACACCAAGTACTATTTCCTTTCTATAACCCACTTTGAACCTAGACCTAACTCAAAAGCTAGCGTTATTTCCCTTCTTAAAATGAGGTTAGGATTAGGGGGAGGGGGGGGGGGAAGGGGATCAAAGAAATAGCCCAGAAAAACATTAATACAGTGATGCTGTAGTAACTGTTTTCTTTTGTTTTTACAGCTATGGAGCCAAAATCCGGGCCCCTCACGCACTGGTCATGACCTTTCTCTTCCGGAGTGGCAGGTACCCACCCCCATCTGCACACCCTTTAAACTGGGAGAAAATGTGGTCAGGCCTCAGTGCCAGGGCTGTTGCAGTAGCTTCCTAGCTGGGTCTAGCCCAGGGGTGGGCAAACTTTTTGACTCGAGGGCCACAATGGGTTCTTAAACTGGACCGGAGGGCCGGAACAAAAGCATGGATGGAGTGTTTGTGTGAACTAATATAAATTCAAAGTAAACATCATTACATAAAAGGGTACGGTCTTTTTTTTGTTTTGTTTTATTCATTTCAAACAGGCCGGATCCGGCCCGCGGGCTGTAGTTTGCCCACGGCTGGTCTAGCCTGTCCCCACACCCACCTCCTAGAGTACAACTCTGATTCTACTGTCACTGCTGGAAACCTCCCCTGGATCCCACTCCCTCCAAAGAAGCCCAACTTCCAGGTGTGGCCTTCAGACCCTCTGCAGTTTGTCCTCCGCTGCATCCCACCCTATTCTCCCATGTTCACCCTGGGGTGCCTTTGGCACACAGGACTTGCTGTCATTCCATGTACATGCCACATGTGGTTCTATCCATATGTTTGCTCATGCAGTACCCCCCTGCCAGGAGTTCCCTTTCCTCTTCTACCCCACCTTTATTTCCTTCCTAGCAACCCAGTTCTCTGAGGATCACTTTCTCATGACCTCCCTTTGCTCAGACTTCTTGGTCTTCCTCTGATATCTCAAGTCTTCCCTCAAGGCATTTCTCTGAAACCAGCTTGTGATCTAGTTTTTTTTTTGTTTTTTTTTAAAGAAAGCTCTTGGCGCCCTAACTGGTTTGGATAGAGCATCAGCCTGCGGACTCAGGGGTCCCAGATTCGATTCCGGTCAAGGGCATGTACCTTGGTTGCGGGCACATCCCCAGTAGGGAGTGTGCAGGAGGCAGCTGATCGATGTTTCTCTCTCATCGATGTTTCTAACTCTCTATCCCTCTCCCTTCCTCTCTGTAAAAAAACAATAAAATATATTTAAAAAAAGCTCATGATTCATCTCTCTCTCTCTCTCTCTCTCTCAT